TAAGATGATGTGACATATGTATCTCGTGTACGAAAAAGTATACGGGAGATGGGTGTTACACATAGACTCAAAAATATTCAAAGGAATACCGGTCTTACCTGAAATTTGCAGTAAACAGTAATGCTTCGAGCTTCCACAAAAGGAGACTTCAACAACTTTAGTATATCCTTCATCCTATGATGATCAAACTGTTAGAAGCATATTCATAAGATAACCTACCTACCTGTGGAGTAAAGTTAAACTGAAAAAAAAAGGATTGGACTTGCCTATTGCTACTCAAAGACACCGATATCCGTAGATTATCCCTTACTTGTGCCTTTTGAATTAGGTTGGTTGAAGAAATCTCTAGCGCTGACATAACAGATGACAAAGTTGTGGTTGTGGCAGTTGCAGTCATCGCAAGAATGCATTCAGCATTGAGTTTGGCACGAAGTAAAGATGCCCTCAGCCGCATATATGATGGCCGGAAATTACGAGACCTGTTAATTTAAATTCATTTCAAATTTTCAATACTTTCCGGTGATGTATAATAAGAAGAATGGTAGTTCAACCACTCACCATTCAGATACACAGTGAGCTTCATCAACCACAACAAGTGATACAGAGGTAGTATCAGAAAATATTGACAAAAGGTCTGCATTCAAAAGCCTTTCTGGTGAAACAAAAAACACCTAAGACATAAGCCATGAAAACATAAGCTTTTGGGCAGTAATGCAATTCAAACAATATTCATACTATTCACCAATAACGTTCTAAAATGTTAAACCCACTTTTATGCTTCCTTCTTGAATCATTCTTAGTGTCTCGGCAGCTTCTTCGGGTCCCTATTCCATGCAAAAACACCGCCATTTATCGATAACTAATAATTTCTAAAGAGAGAGAATCAACACAATTCCTACCTGACTGCTAGACAAGAAACCTCCTGGAATAATTGGGGGGCAACTGTTTCAACTGATCAATCATCAAAGCCACCAATGGACTCACCACCAATGTAACCCCTGGCAAAACCACTGCTGGAATTTGATAGCAAAGCGACTTCCCAGCTCCAGTTGGCAAAACTAGCATTGTTGATTTTCCCGCAAGCACCATCTTGATTGCTTCCAGCTGTCCGTCACGGAAATCGCTGCTTCAACTGACTCAAACCTACTAAGGTTCTCCACTTTCGAATGCTGTGAAATGTCAGAAACTAAACCTTCTTCGTCGCAAAGGTTTCCTATATCAACTTCGGGTTTGACTCTTCTCTTGCTTCTTTTGAAATACTTTGATTTGTAAGAGTAATTGTTCATCTTTTTACCTTTAGCTGTGAACTTGCGCTTATAGCCTCTGAAATTGAGCTTAACGAAGTTACCTTCTTCACTGCGCCTTTGAAATTTAACTTCAGGTGAAGGGGCATCTCTGATCAAATTAGGAAGATTCTTATTTAAAGTTTTGGTGGAACCTGAGCCGTCGGAGAGTTTAATTTTAGGTTCGGGTGGTTATTTCCGGGGTGGTTTCGGGTTCAAAATTAAGGGAAGGTTTAGAGATTTTGGAGAAGGAAGCACGGCGCGTGGAAAAGAAACCAGCGGGGAGGGTTTCAAGGGAACGTCCGACGGAGATTTGATGGAGTTGATCCGACGGACGACGAATCTGGAAAGGAAAATTGCCGACCGGATAAAAGAGATCCTGTAGTTGAATAGGTTTGGGTTCGGGTTCCGGTACGACTTTGGGTTTGGGTTTATCATGTTTCGACCAAGACGGCTTTTTGGATTTGAAAATGGTGTCTGAATGAGAGGAGGGTTTGATCTTTGCTGTAGATTTGGAGGAAGGAGGGTTTGGAGGCGGCTGCTGCGGCCGCATCGGAGGCGGGAGTGGGTCACGTGGAGGAGTGGCGGAAACATGTGAGCCGTCGGAATCTGAATCGGAATCCATGTGGCAGTGGTAAATGGCTGAGAGTAGCTCAGCCGCTTTACAGTTTCTAGCGCTCAAATTTTCCCGCCTATCAGCGTTTGGTATTATTTTAATATTTGTAAGTAAATGTCTGAATTACCCTTACGCTATTGGGCTTTTGATGGGCATTTTTATTATCTTTATTTCAACGGGTCCAGATTAGCCTGTTTTAACAATGAAACCGACTCAAGCAGCTTGCTAACGGTCATCTTAAGGATGTTTTTACTTCTTTGCCCCTTTGCCGCCTTTCTCTGCCCGCATTTCTAACCGTTAAATGGAGTTAACTCCTACTAGAACTACTCAGCCTCAGGACGCACCCTGCTCGACGTTCATAATTCAAAAACAAAATTACCTCTCTCTCAACAAGAAAAATTCCCCTTACTTTTAACTCAAGAAAGGCTTTTTCAATTTATACACATACCCATTGGGAAAACAACACAAAAGCTTGATTTGTTCTGACTTCTGAGTTGCAATTAGAAGAAAAGAAACTGTGCTCCTGAGTTTCAATTACACAGAAAAGAGAATGGTGGAACTACTGATCCGTAATGATTTTAAGTACGTTGATCTCAATGGGGATCCTTTTGAATGGTTGCTTCAAATAGCCAAATTTGAGGAACAGAAACTGCAGAGAAACCATGATCATGGCCATCCCAAGTGTTTCGATTTTCGAATACAATGCACAGCTACCTGGGTCTCTCTCCAAGAAAGAAAACATGGGGTTCGAGTTCGACAACAACGTTGGGAAGAAACCGAAACGGAAGTTGAAAGAAGAAGATGGTGATGGAGAATGGGGAAGTGGACTGAATCTGAAACCCAAGTCGAAGAGAAGCATGAAACAGAAACCCCAATCCTCAATCCCAACACCCGACATGCCCAACAGATACAAACGGCACATACTAGAAGACATGGGTGGTTCGGGTTTGGTTCTAGTGATTCAGAAGACCCTCTTTTACTCCGATGTTAATCATACCGCCAGCCGCTTCTCCGTACCCTTCTCGCAGGTCAAAAGTCGAGACTTTCTCACAAAAACAGAGGCTGATGATTTGGCTCACAAGAAACCAATGTAAGTAAGCTTCTTGGATCCATCAATGGAGAAAACTACAATGACTTTTAACAAGTGGAAGATGGGGAAAAGCTCACTCTACGTGATGACCGAATCGTGGAACTCGGTAGTGGAGACCAACAAACTCAAGAAGGGTGGACCGTGCAACTCTGGTCTTTCCGGGTGGATTCAGAGCTTTGCTTCGCAATAGTCAGAGTCTGAGACCCAACACCAGACAAAGAACAATGCCCATGTGTTCTAGGTTTTGAATTTACAAGTATTTTGGTTTTTAATAATCGACATTCGTTATTTCTTTGTCTATAACCAAGAATGCTTGGTTATCTCTGTTACTGTAATTTTTTGGATTACAAGAACGTACTTTTGTCGCATCTTAAACTGAAGTTTTTGAATATATTAGAATATTGTTGACATTGAAAATCCCCTTAATTTTTTTCTCTCTAATGGTTTATCATAAACCCTCTTAAACATAAACCAGACTGACCATGTCAGGCCATAAGCTGAGAGTAATGGCTTCATGATGACAGAGCATAAATGCAGAAGCATATGGGACATGAGGTTTTGGTCGGCTATAAACCAAGGCTAAGGCTGTTCTTTTGTCAGGTGCTCAAATAATTGGTTTTCTGTTATTCAGGTTTGAGTTGTTTGGTTGAGTAGAAAGCTAAGACCTTTAAAAACAATAATTATCCATTTAACTATTGAGATAGTTTGGTTTATACCATCATTAAAGTTTTAATAGTCAATAATTAAAATAAAAAGATATAACATTAATAGCAATATTAATAAAAAATAGATGATAAAAAAAATAATAGTTTGATGATTAATTGTGTAATGACCTTAAATTATAAAACATTAGTATTACAATATTTCTATTTTAAAAGAAAAGTCCAATTTAAAATTAAGAAAATTTGAATTCATGGGTCAGGATAAAACATAGGCCTGGGCAATAAAATTAAGAAAATTACATTTTTTGGGTCCGATCAGTGAACAGTTATGGAATCGTAGGAGTTCAAAATAGGTTTAGGGTGAGTGTTCGATTGAGTCGAGTTGAAAGTCGAAAAGTTTTGAGTTATCCGAGTTGACGAGTCGTATTTTACAACTCAAACTTAACGAGTTTAAGAAATTCGATTCGATTTATTCGAGTTTCTATATATTTTATATTTTTTCACATTATAACATTATTTAATATATCAAATACAATCTAAAATTATAAAATATATTTAGAATATTATATTTTAAAGAGAGTATTTGAGAGTAAAATTTTGATGAGAATATAAAGGAGTTGAGGAATTGATAATAAGAAAGGAGTTGAGGAATTGATAATAAGAAAGAATTTGTAAACAATTGTAGTCAAAAAGACCAAATTGAGTAAAATGCAAGGTTAAGAGACTAAATAAAAAGAGAGTATTTTTAGTGAAAAAGTAAGAATTGAAGTTACATAGGTATTCTATTTAATATGTGAGATGTGGTTCAAATTTGGTAAAAAAAACTTAAAATAAACATGAATTGAAGAAATAAGAAAATTATGAAAAATTGAGGACTAAATTGAAAAATAGAAAATTTGTTATCATAAGAGAATTGAAAGTACATATATACTCTACAATGGTTTACGAGCATGTAGTTCAAATTTGATAAAAAAAGAAGTTAAAATGAAGGAGAAATTGAATGAAATAATGAAATCAATGACTAAATCGTAATCAAAATTATTGGTGTTTCGAGTAACTCAAAATTTCAAAATTTCAACTCGACTCGAACTTGAAAACCAAATTGATAATTCGATTGCATTGCATTTATTGTAATTTCGGACAAAACAGATGTTATTGGAGTCATTGTGGGTGCCATGCCTGTGCAACAACGGTTCCGGGCAACATCTTTACCGCTATTCTGGTAACGAACAGCTGTATAAAACCCTGGATTTACTAGCATATGTAAAGTGTAATCTAAAAGAGGGAAACAAACACTATAGAACACTTGGATGAAGATCAGTCATCCTTAATAAAAGTCGTGTCATGAGCAGGAAAAAAGAAGACTGGACTGAATAAATCCAACAACACATCACATTCAAATCCCTAAGACAAAAATAGGTACCTTCAAAGTATCACCTAACTGATAGTTACAGTCTTCCGCAGATATAGCACGCAGCAAGCGTTCATGTTGTGCCATTTCCGTTGCCACACGAGACGGACTGTGGCCAAGCTCGTTTGTAGTAGGGTACTACTTTGGAAAAATCCGATAAGATCGAAGATCCACGACCTTGGTACTGAATCACTTCCATCCTGTTACTCTTGAAGTGATAGAGAAATATGTTTGATCCGGTTCTAATGAAGACTGTTTCGGAATTTTGCGGTGAAAATGCCATTATTTCAGTTTCTTTTGACCGTGCAATGCATTTTGTCGCAATACTTGGATTCTTTTTCCACATTAGTTTGAAATTCAACTTATATCTCATGCTCCAAGAAAGGTTAGACTGTTTGTCTGTTGAGAATAAGGATGAATAACCATCCAATCCTTTTTCAAGAACCCATATCTGTAGGCCTGCTTTACAGCTCCAACCATATTGTAGACATCCATCCAAAGACTCCCCGACAACTTGCGCGTCGAAATCAAATGGCCCTGGGAGTTTAACTAAAGCAATATGCTTGTCATGATGATCCGGGTCATAAATAGCTACATTCCCCTGGGCTGCATACCAGTGGATGACACCTCCAATCACGGTACCCGAAATCCAAGGTGATAGAGATATAGTAGAAGAACATCTAAGCTTGGAATAACACCATGTACTGGTCTTTGATGAGAAAGTTTCTATTGTGACAACATTGATCTCCTCGAATCTGCTTTCACATTTCGCACGAACAATCCTGTAGGAGATATCATCATCAGGTGAATCTTCAACGATGAATGCCATGCACAACTCCTCAAAGTACACTCGAGGACGAGGTAGTTTAATTTGTTCCTTTGTAATGGGATTCCATACAAAATAAGTCTTCGGGACGACCACAAGAAGAAGACCATCAGATGAGTCAATAAAGTAACCAAGCTTTTTAAGGATCCCAGAGAACTTCAAATCATCACACTCTCTACTAGTAGACAGCAACGGAAGAGCGGGTTCGGAACGGGGTCGATGAGCACCGCCTTGAGGTCTTCCAAGGTATAAGTAATTGCACACAAAAAATCCTAACAGGTTAAAGCCCACTCTCCATCGACTCAAATAACTATGACGAAAAGATGAGCTGCATATCAAGTGAAGCCACCTCTTTGATACAATAATGAGCTTGGGAATTGATTCGGGTGGTAAACGGAGAAGGATATTGCAGAGGATGTCATCACAGCTCAGTGCAGTATGAAGAACACCCTCATGTCTTATTCGTCTATTCTTCATGTACACAAGCAAATCCTTCACAATATGTTTGAAGAATCAAACCAGCCAATTTGTTGAAATTGCATGACATTGACGACTCCGAAAAGACAGGTTACTAAATTGAAGCTCAAGTAATTACCATGACAATCAAACCTGTAAAATTTTAACTACCAAATGAGAAGAAACACCAATACATCTAACAATGCTGGACATGACAGAGAAAAAAAGCCAAAACTATATGAAACGTAAAATGAATACACGAACATGACAAATCTACATAAGGCAAATTATTAACATGTAAAAATTTAAATAGAAAATACCTTGCACAAAATTATGACATGAGAAAATACATGAATAGGATATGAATACACATTGCAAGATCTAGCCACCAGTCACCACAAAAAGCTCACAGTAAATTTCACAACCAACAAGTGACGCAAGATTTCTACATATATGATGAAACATTGTGTTAAAGGACAATCTACAATAAGATCAAAATTTTGTTTCCAACTTATAGCTTTGTGGTTAGAAGATGCGTAAAGCCAATGACTTATACTTGATAAGAGCTAAATTTATAAATTCCCTTAGAACTTTCTCAAGTTCATTCATTAACATCCCAAAAAAAACAAATTGAAATAGAAAATGGAATCATTCAAACTTCTTTTGGGCATCTATTATCCAAGCCAATTACTATCAATCATCACATATTTGTTAAAGAAGTATAAAAATCATTTAAAAAGATCAACCTTATTTCATCAAAATCACACACTGAAACAACAAAAGGAAGGCAGTTTACCGAGTCTCGAGTGACGAGAATCATATGGGGTTTTCTTATGAACACCCGACGGGAAGTAAATGCTTAAACTAAAAACCCTAGATGTTAAAATGAGACTATCCAAAGCAAAACCAAACTTTCAACAAGACAAAGATACCGAATGAATGAATAAGTAAATAAATATTCTTTTTCATTTTCTAATATTTTGTTATGTTGAAGAGTGATTACCTGAAACGGGTTGATCGAAGGAGGAACCAAAAGAGAGATCCCCAAAATAATTAGAACAGAAAATTTTAGTATTTTGAGTTAAACAGGAGACTCAAAAACGACACGCCGTTGAGGATAAGACCATGCATTGGATTGGATTTAACAAAGCCCCAAAGAATCATAGTTTCAAGTGTTAATTTGAGTAACCCATCACTGAAAGATTAACTGAAATCTATGGAGTATATAATAATTATTGATTATTTTTTATTTACTTGAAAATTTTATTTTATAAGAAGTATTTATGAAAAACTTTAAACTTTATTAAAGTTTAAAAATTCAAATCGAATCATATGTATTTTAGGCTTATATGGAGATTGAAATTTTAGAATTTTTCGAGTTTATTCTCAAATAAACAGTTAAATAATAAAGTATGTGTGATTTGTGAAAGAAATCATTATTATCAGGGGTGAATTTAGAAATTAAAAATGAGGTATAAAATTTTAGTACTCATTTTATCAACAAAATAGGTATGTAAATTTGTTAAATTTTTTTCTTCCTTTGATATTTTGAACTATAATAATGAGTATTTTCTTAGGGGCCAAGTGCAGACGAAATTGAGCAAATAATCTAGGCTAGTGGATTATTTAGCTCAATAGGGCAATATAGAATTTATTTTGGGATATACGAAAAATGTTACAGTGTTCGTAGAACTCGTCATACCGGCATGACGAGTTCCATGAGATATATTTTTTTAATACTCTGTATCACATGGGTCCCATAGTCTGAATTTTTTAATTTTTTTAAAATTCAATAGAACTCGTCACGCGGATGTGACGAGTTCCAACGGCTAAAAAAAATTCATCCCTTTAAGTAGTGTACATCTTCAATCTCGTACATAACACACTCCTTTCATTTCTACACAACACACTTGTCATAACCATTTTTTAGGTAAAACAATTAAATATTATTTTAGAAAAAACAATTATGACTTTAATTTGGAAAAATTGGTGATTTGGAATTAATTTGATTTAAATTGAAAGGGAGTCGCCATCGACCTTTGGGTTAGATAGGTCAAATACCCAAAAACTTCTTTTAAAAACAATTTTAAGAAAAATCATTTTTTAAGACAAAAATGGTCTGCGTTTACAAAGATTACTTTAAAACGGGTTCGAGAGTCGATTACGCGTGGGGAAGGATTAACACCCCACAACGCCCAAAACTGGTACTGTGTCGCTTACACGATGTCGTACATAGTAAAAATTATAAATCGAATATAAAGTTAAATTACGATCTATTTATCGAACATTAATTTGCTTCGAATTTACTATTTAAAGAGAATCCTTTAATTCAATAAAAAAAACTTTGAAATTAGCAATCCTCCGTCGAGAAAGCTATTTCAACTATTTTTCATTATTAAAGAATATTCTATCGTCAAATATGTAAAAGATGCATATCAACTATAAATGGCAAATTGACAGTTGCGGAAAAAATAAAATACATAACTTGCATTGTTCAGTGTACAATAAAAATGACTTAACAATTAACAAACTAAAATTGATTTATTTCAAGTTCCATTTAGTTCAAACGTCGTATTAGATTGTACCACTTCGATTAAGTGATACTTTCTACGCCCGTTCTACAAATACGTTCTTGAAAATTTCGAATAACATGTACTAGATAAAGAAACATAATGGAAATAAATACAAATATAAATGCGTAATAAATATTTACATCAAACAAATTAAGTATATTTAATTACACATGGTACAAATAAATACAAAACATAGTACATACATAGAGGATTGAAATGAAAACAAATAAATATTAAAGACCAAAATACAAATAAACCAAAAAGTAAATATTTGAAATTATAAGAAAACCAAAATATCAAACCCATAAGCTCAAAGGACCAAAATAGTACAAATAGGAATTTAAAGGACTAATATGGTCAAAACATAAACTTAAATGGCTAAAATAGTAAAAATAGAAATTTAAGGGTCTAAAATAAATAAAATAGAAATTTAAAGGGCTCAAAGAAATTAAACCAAATATCAAACAGTGACTAAAATATAACATTTGCAAATTTCATGACCAAATCCGAATATCAAAGAAAAATACACAATAAACTGAAACAATGACTAAAATGAAATAAATATAAATATCATGACCAAATTATAATATCAGTAAACATAATATACAAATTAATGACTGAAATGAAATTATTAAAAATTAAAAGGCTCGAAATAAAATGATCTGGAATTGTATTCAGTGATCAAAATGAAAGAATGATGAAATTTAAAACTCAAAACTTGAAATCGAAACTTGCATTAGTGACTAAAATGGAACCTTTACAAACATGGTGTCCAGATTCAAATATCACAAATAATACACAGTATAAGAAATCAGGGACTAAAATGAAATATGCATAAATATCACAACCAAATTAGAAAATTCACGCAAATGGTAAAATACAAAGAAGTAAGGACTAAAATATAAAAAGGAAAATATAAATGCCCAAAATAAAATATTATGAAATTTCATTAATGGCTAAAACGAGAGGTTACAAACCAGGAGGGACCTAACATGTAGTTAACCCACACTCCAAAAACACGCAGAAGGTCCCCAGAACTACGTCGTTCTGCATTTAATATATATATTTAATTTAAAGGCCAAAATGGCCATCCTCTTTCATTTGTTCTCTTCAAAACGAGAGAGGAGAGAGAGAGAATCAGAATTTTCTAAACTCTCTCCTCTGAAGAGAGTTTGACACGGTGGTCGGAGGCTCCCACGGCGGCTCCTACAACGAAGGTAAAGGCTTCTCCCCTTATTTCTCTCTTTGTTGTTTCTTTCCCCCCCCCCCCTTTTTTAGCTTCCTTTTCTAGTTTCGATCTTCTCTTTTTTCTGTTCTAGAAACCCCCCCGAATATCTCTTTTGATTTTTCTTTTTTTCACCCCCCACCGAATACCTCTCCTCTCTCCCTCCGTGTCTTTTATCCCCTCTCTGTGATTTTATCTTTGCATGTATCATTGGTGATATCTTCTCTGCTGATTTTGTGATGGATTGACTGATAGATAGACTCTTCTGATTCCTCGAGATTTCTTGTGTACTTGCATGATTTTATTTGATTTTTTTAATCGGGTTTTCTCTTTGATTTGCATGTCTGATGTGGTATCGGTCACTGTTGGTGATAACGTCGATAGAGACGGTCGGAAGGGAGGCTCGGCTTGGTGGCTCGGGAACTCGGCGAAGGCTTGGTGATCGGCTCACGGCTAGGAAGCTGAGGAGTTGAAGTGGCGGCGGCTACTGGATGATATGCTTAGGGTTAAAACCCTAATCTGGGTTATTTGTGGGCCGTTGATCTTTCTTCAAATCTAATGGCTGGTATTAAAGGCGGCTAGAGAGAATAGGGTGAAACCCTAGCTGAGTTGGGTCCTTTGTTTGGGCCTGGACCGGTTCAGGTTTGACTGATGGGTCTACTGAATGTTGGGCTCCGGGATTGGGCCTTTTTAATTTGGGCTTCAAGGCTTGCAAAATTGTAATATGTAAATTTCAAAATAATAATAATAATAATAAATTAAAAAAAAAAAAACCCAGACAAAAACGGGTGTCTACAGCTGCCCCTCTTTGCACATTCTTGTGTTAACAAGAATAGGGCAAAGACGATAAGACAACACGTTTTTGTCTGGTTCTCATACTTTTATGCTTAGAAATTTGATAAGGTTTGTTGGGGACGACACTGCTCATACATGATGAAGAGTTCTGGTCGTTTAAGGGTGACACGGTTCCTACATGATGAGGAAATCTGGTCGGGGGATGACACGTCTCATACGTGATGAAGAGTTCTGGTCATCTTTAGGAAGGGTGATAACTCGGTTCCTACGCGATGAGGACGGCTAGATATCTAGGGGTGACACGGCTCCTACGCGATGAGGAGATCTGGTCGGGGATGACACGACTCATACGTGATGAAGAGTTTTGGCCATCTTTAGGAAGGGCGATAACACGGTTCCTACATGATGAGGACGTCTGGTTATCTAGGGGTGACACGACTCCTACGTGATGAAGAGATCTGGTCAGGAGATGACACAACTCACACATTACGTGATGAAGAGATCTGGTCAGGAGATGACACAACTCACACATGATGAAGAGTTCTGACCATCTTTAGGGATAATGATTTCAAAAAGAAATCAACTCAAAGATGATGTTTCAAAAGAAACAGACTCAAAGATTGTAAATTTTGTTTCCAAAGAAACATACTCAAGGATTTTTCTCAAAAGAAATAATCTCAAATGTTGGTTTTTTCATTAAAAATTATCTCAAGAGACAAAATTTGTTTTTAAAGAAATAGAATCACAGATGATTTTGTTAAGAGGCACAATCTCAAAGATTTTTCAAAAGGAACAGACTCAAAGATTTTTCTCAAGAAAAACTGTCTCAAGAGAGACAAAACTTTGTTTCAAAAGAAACAAACTCAAAGATTTTGGTTTCAAAAGAAATGACTCAAAGATTTTTTCACGAAATTGTCTTAAGAGAAACAAAACTTTGGTTCAAAAGAAACAGACTCAAAGAATTTTTTCAAAAGAAACAACTCAAAGATTTTTATTTCAAAAGAAACAACTCATAGACTTTTGTTTCAAGAGAAACAAACTTAAAGATAGGTTTTGTTTCAAGGGAAACAATCACAAAGATATTTGTTTTAAGAGAAATTGTCTTAAAAGAGACAAACCTTTTTTTTTCATAAAAACATACTTAAATATTTTTCTTCAAAATGAACTATCTCAAAAGAGACAAAATTTTGTTTCCAAAGAAACATACTCAAAGATTCTTTCAAAAGAAACTTTTTCAAAAGAGACAAAATTTTGTTATCAAAGAAACATACTCAAAGATTTTTTCATTTTGTTTTAGATGAAACAGACTCAAATATTTTTCAATAAAATATGTCTCAAGAGAGACAAAGTTTTGTTTCAAAAGAAATAGACTCAAAGATCCTTTGTTTCAAAAAGAAACGACTCAAAGATAATGTTTGTTTCCAGTGAAACAAATTCATAATTTGGAAAATTGTCTCAAGTGAGACAACATTTG